TATATCCTTGGCAGAGAGTCATCCAATCTGTGGTCTCAAAACAACCCTGCAGGGCTTCTTCAGTGTCCTGCGACCATTTTCTCACAGTTCTTCGTGTCACAGGTTGCCTCTGAACAAGTGGTTTGTTTTCTGAGCAGAGAAAAACAAGATTGTGATCTGATTGTCCTAGAGGAGGTCTTGTTTTGGACATGTATGCATTCTTTATATTTGCATAACACAAATCCAATGTCTTGTTTTCTCTGGTGGAGCATCTGCCAAACTGTTTAGATGTTGGAAGTGTAGCAGCGAGTGAGGCATGAATAAATTCAGCAGATATAGCCACAAATGTATTGGGGTGCTGGGTTTGTAGCTTAGCGACAACGGAACTGGTGGCATCCCATGCACTTTCATCACATCACATGCATGGCTGAAGGTGGAATATAAACGGTTGCCAAGACAACACTGGTGAACTCTCTTGGAAAATAATATGGGCGACAACTTACTGCCAAGAGTTCAACATCTGTGCTGCAGAGACGACATTTCACTGAAACACGACCTGGATGGCACCATCTGTTGTTGACAAGCACTGCCACTCCACCTCCTTTTCTTTTCTCGCTCCTCTTCAGATCTCTGTCTGCTCGTACAGTCAGGAATCCTGGCAGAGAGACAATGGAATCGGGGATATGGTCCTGCAGCCACGTCTCAGTGAAACACATAACACTGCACTGCCGAAACTCTGGCTGAGTCCTTGAAAGGGCTTGGAGTTCATCCATCTTTTGGCCAGTGATCTCACATTGCCCATTATGATCGATGGAAGAGATAGTTTGAATTTTCTCTTTCTCTGTCTGCACCCACGCTTCTTGTGTTTTAGCTCATTTGGGATTTGTGGCTTAAGTTGAGGTATTATTTCAGCCTTTCCAATGTTAATCAGCTGCTCCCGATTATAAACCAGCTTGTTGCCATGGTTACGCATTATAACAAATGCTCAAAAAGTGAAAAAAGTGAAAAAATAGCAGTAAAAATCCTTTAAGCTTCACAGCACCAGAAACAGAAAAGTAAAAGGCCCCAAACAACTACCGTTTTTCTTGAGAAACTAGAAGAAAAAATGTCATAAAATAAAAATAAAAAGTCAAAACTTACATATAGTCAACAGAGCTACTCCAACATGCAGCCACCCAGAGCAGCGCAGTTCCTGAATACATGTACACATACATACATACATACATACATATACACACACACACACACACACACACACACACACACACACACACACACACACACACACACACACTAGGGCTGTCGCGATTGAGGAATTCCCCCTGCGGTCAGTCAGGTTAGCTCAATATTGTGATATGCGATATTATTGCACCCCATTTTTATTAATGTACTTAGCAAATTTGTTTGTTAATTACTAAACTCATGGCAATATTTCCTTTGAAGCATTATGCTTACACATTTAAAAAATGTTAGAAAAAAATACATGGCCATTTTTAACACTTTATTGAATGCAGATCAAAGGGCAGTAACGGCATTCTCTGACTGAACTTAAACAACATTCAGGAGGTTTAACTTTGAAATGCAAATTTGGCTGCAACATCTAACAGAAATAAAAAAAAGTGCCCTACTATCTCCCCGATCAGCGCGGACTTTACCTCTCAGCATGTGCTGTCGCGAGATTTAATCAAGTGCGGTAATTGCGGTGCCACGTCATGCAGCGCGGTGGGTTTCTTAATATCGCGATTTATTGTTCTTGCGATTATTGCGACAGCCCTAACACACACACACACACACACACACACACACACACACACACACACACACACACACAAACACACACACACACACACACACACACACACACACACACACACACATATATATATAAGTGGTGGGCATAGATTAATTTTTAATCTAGATTAATCTCACTGTAATCTTGGAATTAATCTAGATTAATCTAGATTAAAATGGCTCATTCAAATTCTGCCAAAGGCATATGTGTGTGCTACCTAGATAATGAATAAAGGCAAGTCTTTGAGAATGGAGGCATATTTCTTGTTTCAATAATGCACCACAGACTGATAAAGCAGTTTTACTACGATAACTGATTATGAAAATAAATAATGATCAATAAGTATTTGTGTTCAATAGCTGTTTATTCAGTTCAACAAATTCTGCACTGTAGGTCTACAGGTCATGATTAACTATTTACAGTCAGTAGCATTTGGTCAATCAGTCCAAGCTCTACTTCTCCTTCTTCCACCAGTCAGTCAAGCAGACCAGCTTGTTCACATTGTCTGGTGACAAATTAGATCTTCTCTTCTGCACAATATGGCCTGCTAAAGAAAAAAGTAAATATATATATATACACACACACACACACACACACGCACACACACACATGCATACATACAGACATACATACATGCACACACAAACTATCTGGCCTGGGGAGGGGGTTAAATTTCTGGGGTGCCCTTCCAATGCCCCCCTTTAGTTTGCATATAGGATCGCCTCTGGTGAATAGGAGCGAGAGCTGGAAATTATGCCACACAGGTTATCTGCAGGTTTAAGGGAGCCAAATTTAAGACTTTTTAAGACCTTTTTTAAGGCCACTTTGACCAAATTTAAGCTATTTTTAAAATTAAATTTAAGCTAAAATTTCCAGCTATTGCCTTGAACCGGTGCTAACCACGTCGCGAACTTGGGTTTAACCAAGTTACCATTAAACTTGCACATCCCCATGGCGCAAGCTCCCACTAGCTTAACCAGTTAATGTGCTCATCTAAAAATAGCCCCCTTTCACAAACAACTGAATGTGTACGGTTCCACTTACGCCAACATCATACACAAAAAATGCTGAGCACTGACTAGAAATTCACGAAAATTTTATAGAAATAAAATAATCTTGTTTATTGGGTCTTTGGAAATTTAAGACCTTTGGAAACTGTATTTAAGGATTATTTGTCATTTTTAAGGATTTTTAAGGCCTTAAATTTGGAAAAGCAAATTTAAGACTTTTTAAGGACCCGTGGATACCCTGGCCACAGCTCATCTGTATGAGCGGAAGCCAACTGTTGCTGTTGTTGTCTCTGAAAACAGCAAGGGGAGTTATCCTAGCTCAACTTTTCTAAACAAATATAAAAATTTATGAGTAAAATGTTTATTATTTGAATTTGAGTCAAAGCCACATGAACAACGACCTGTAGAAACAATTTATCACTTTATCACAATAAACAGCTGCTAAAAGAGCTAAACTTAGTTGGAAACCGCTCCTGTCTGCGAAAGTCTTGTCTCGGTTTTCTCACATCCGAGCGCTGCTTCAGACGCGGACGGTGAAGTGTGGCCCGGGGAAAGCCCGGCTGGAAATTTCAGAGGTAAACAAAACAAAATAAAAAGAATGAAAGTCGGATTTAAGGATTAAACTCTGGTGAAAGTACATAAATTATTTACTTGTCCCGCGCGATGAGAAGGGAGAAGCGCTGCTGGTGGCGAAGGTGCGACTGTTCTGCTGCATGGGGAACAAACTCCGCGAGCCTGGCGTCCGTCCATACGTACGATGATCCGCGCCGAGTATACATCCGTGCCAACCAGGTATCCATCCGCGCCAACCAGGTATCCATCCGTCCCCGTCCCCCCCCCCCCCCCCCCGTCCCCCGTCCCCCACCCTATCTGCGCGCCTATTTGTGTGATCATTAAATCTTTCCTTATGAATAATTCTTACTGTCGGTTTTTGGAGAATGAAGAGTGAATTTAATGAACTTTTATAGTTATTGCCCCACACCTCTATACAGTAAGTTCGGTAAGGCAATACCAATGAGCAATACAATATATACAGCACATTGTATTGTAAAATGTATTTTGTTCTATTGGTGATTGAAGCACTTTTTGAAATCTTAATCTGTATGTGTCGGATATGTGGTTTCCAGCTTAGTTTACTGCCAATAAATATTCCTAAGCATTAAATTTTCAACACTACCTCTATTGTAATACCCTCTATATTTATTCCTAGGTTTAAATTCCCTTAATATTTTCCACATAACATTCCTTTAGTTTTATCTAAATTCAGGGATAGCGGATGGAATGCAATGGATGGAACAAAATAGGATAAAAAAGGGTATAATATGTTCAGACTCTCAATAATGTCCCTTCAGTTGACAGATAGTAGACCCAATATTAAGTTTGAGATGCACGAATGCTTATTTAGATTAAGCAAGGTTGGTTCAGAAATGAGATTCATGAGGGTTCCAGCTCACAGAAGGGTAGAGGGAAATGAGATGGCTGATTTTTATGCAAACAAGAAACTAAGCTAACTGCAAGGTTAGAAGAACTGTATAGTGTGGCAGAATTTCACAGTTGTTTCCCTACTAACCACAGGTCTATGTGACTGTGGACAGGACAGGAAGACGGTTGTGTTGTGTTTTTGCAGAACATAGGGAAGTATTAGAAGACAAATTAAAGGTGAAAGCATGTGGCGAATTGAATATAAAGGTGTGGGGTAAAATGTATTTCTGAGTTTTTGTTTGACTTCCTGAGAAAAGTGGACTAATTTGGAGAATATAGGATATTTATAATATATAATAATGTATAGATGAGTATAATTTTATACAGTGACTGTCCCACTTGGACTCACACTCCTTCACAGTAGATGGCGAAAATGCACCTGATGATGCCACCCGCTATTAAAAAAAAGAAAAAAAGAAAAAAAAAAAAACAAGAAGCCCTCCCATCGTGGTCTCCGAGCTGGGAATGGGAACTGAGAGTATGAGGATTTCCTCCCCGACACCACGGTGCAGCGTTACTGAGGAGCCTTCACTCTGCTGGACACATTTATTTATCCAAGCGCACAGATCTAACAGTGTTTTGTTTCCTGCTCTGCAAAGCGAGCTTTTAGCTTTTCACACCACTTGTTAATGATGTGCTTCAGAAAAAAGGTCCATGTGGATTTTATTTTTATTTTGGGAGATAATTGACCTCACCTGGTGCGCCTGATTGCGCCAGCCTGCTCTGCCTCTCCTCAGCGAGCTGCTGCTGGTGGAAGAACTGCTATAAAGAGGTCATTTCAAAGCAGGTTGGGTTCAATCTTCGGAGGAGAGACACGGTGGTCCTCACTCGGTTGAGGTTGGGACATTGTGGTCTTCGAGGCGGGCTGTTTTTGGTGGGGAAACACACTTTAAAAGAAGCGCTTGTTGCTTTCTGGGCATTTCAGTAGCAGCAGCCGCCAGGTTGGGAGAAATCGGTTGGAGAAGTGGATGAGGCGGCTCGTTTGTAGGATTTGAACCCTTTTCTTCTCCTCAACCCTTGTTAAGTTGGAGCCAGCCATGGGTGGAGGTGGTGTGGACAGGTTAGTAAAGTCTCTGCTGTTGCTTCTGCCAGTGCTGCTGTGCTGTGAAGCACTGCGAGAGAGTTGGCAGCCTGGAAACTACACCAACAGCACAGCTGACGCGCAGAGGTTCCTCAGAGATTACAACAGCACTGCTGAGGAGGTGTTCTTCTTCAGCGTGTCAGCCAGCTGGAACTACGACACAAACCTAACGGATTATAACTCCAACCTCCAGGTAGGGACACCCCCCAGTCTTGGTGCCAGAAAGTCTCGTCACAACTTCTGACTCCAGACTGAAGCAGGTTTAAATTAAACGGAGTAGCCATACTAAATAAAATCAGGGTTCTGAGATCACCTGTCTCACATTAATTTCAATTTTAAATCAAAGCAGCAATGTTCCCAGATAGGATGTTAATGATGCACACCTCTCTGGTCTCTTCATCTAGCTTTTTATCTGATGGGCTAGTTTTAATTTTCTGAATCTGTTTGTTGGCTCAAACGTTAAACATTTGTCCATGGGTAGTTTTCGTTCTGCAGACACATTTATACAAAAGAACTTGCCAAGTTATGTTAACATACATGATTTTTGGCCTGGAGACCTTCTATTGCAAGGCTGCAGGGCTTCAGCTGTGCCACCATGCAGCTGGATCTTGTTCTTGAATGTGTATTTAGTAATCAAGTAAGAATTCTGCCAAAGCCATTTGTTTTCATCTGAAGGAAAATGACTCAGAATGTCACCCATTTTTGTAATGAGGAGCTAAATACTGCAGGTAAATGCAGCATTTCCCACAATATCCTGTGGTTTAGATGGTTGATCTTAAATCTTACAGAAGTTTACAGCATGCAGTCGTTTTTCATGTTTTGTCTAATGTTACACAGCAGTCCTGACCCAGTCAGGTCAGTTCTGCAAGTCTTTGTCTAATGGTGAGAATCCTTCGATCTTTTTTAGTGCATAAAGAAAAAATTCTTGGGGTGGGAATGTATTAGCTCACCCTGCATTGGACATCAGATCTGAACTGGGTCTTGTGTTTTTCTGTTAAACAGAGTGTTACTGTTTACATTTGGTAGCAAAATCCTTTTGGACAAGCCTTTGGGTGATTTGGTATCTAGTTCAGGAAGATGTCTACAAATATGAAGACTCATTTTAAGGGATTCACATAAATGCCCTTCAACATGACTAAAACATCCTTTCATGTCTGCCATTTCTTTTCAGGTTAGTGCAGCTCTAGAGGAACAAGCCTTCACTGAGGCCTGGGGGAAGAAGGCCAAGCAGGTCTTTTCTAATGAGCTTCTTGACTTTGAAGACAAGAGGCTGATGGAGGGCATCATGCTGCTGGGACCTGCCAACCTTCCCCAGAAGGAAAGAGAGGAGGTTTGGTTGTCTCTATCTTGCTCTAATATTTCCATAAGCTTTTTACAGAGTGTTTTGAAAACTGAGATCTTGACTATCCCTTCTTAATTCGTCTGTAGTACAACACCATTCTCAGCATCATGCAACGTATTTATTCAACAACTAAGGTACACCCACGGCCAAACATAAGCTGGAGCCTGGAACCTGGTGAGTGAACCCAACCAGATGTGAAGTATATGTGAATGAGGGTTAACCGTTTTTCTGATAGCCGTCATGTTTCAAGTAGTTAATGGTCTGACATGTGGCACCAGTTGGTTAACCTAAATATTGATGTAATTAGGGGTGCACCATAATGAGAATTCTTGGTGAAAACAAAAATGATGAAACAAAGGCTGAAAAATGATCATGTCAATATTTAGAACCATAGCATTTATGACTACGGTGTGCACTAACTTCACAAAATTAAGGCATTTCAAATCCATGAAAATATTTATATAGCACTGACATAACAATGAACAATATGAATTAAAATGTTTCATTTGACCCCACTCATGTAGATTCAATAAATTATAAATGTGTAGGCTTAAAACTGAAAGGTCTTGTGAGGACAGTAAAATGACCCCTTTAAGCACGAAAGTTGCAATATTGTGTTTAACGAGCCACGGCTGCAATTTTAATCCCTAATGAAGTTATTGCTTTACACCAGAAGATGGTGAAGATGTGTAACTTCAATCTGGGCAATAGTGTTAAATAGCTGATATGCAACACTGACGATTAAAATTTCTCCAAATAGTTTGCTGATCTTTAGTTCACCGATCAAGCAGAAAACCAGAGGCAGAGGTATCTGTGGGGAGCCCAACCTCCGCTATGCGCAGGAAGCGGGGTTTTTCCTGCATTCAAATTTGCATGGCGGCTGACTCCAGCTAATTTTGTGCTGCCCCAGCCTGATCTTACTCTGCCCCCAGCTATATGGATGTTTTAACTGCAGTTGCAGCGTTGCGCCACTATAGGGGCGCTGTATCAGCAGCGGTGCACCAAAAAGCACTAAAACCGTTGCAGAAAAAGATCAAAAGTTGCTTTTCTCGCTAGTAGGTACATATCTGTGGTTGGTGCTACTGACATCCTGATTTTCCCCCAGGCTCTTCCATATCAGATTAGGGCTGTACATTGTGACAAAAAACTGTCTGCGTGTCTATTTTTAAATGTAGCACTGGTGCAACATCTTTGAATTGTTATTTTCCCCAGAACTTTATTGAACAAAAATAAGTTACGTGTAAGAAATGCTTTTTTCTGGCGCACAATGTGGTCATCTGGATGAAGTGGAGGAAAATAAAGGAACCAACAAAGGCAGAACCGGTCCAATGTTTGGGATCAAAAGTGCAGCTACACGCAGATTGGCTAATGCTAAAGCTAATGGCTAGCAGTCTCACGATCAAGTGGCGCACAGAAAAATATGATTAACGTAAAACTAAGACTAAATTCTACAAGCGGATGAAAAGTCCCCACCATCCTGTTTATTCTGCATCCTGCAGTGCTTTGTATCAGAACCGCTGCAGATATGAGTTTGTACGGCAAGCCGTTGTAGCATATGATTCACAAGCGCTTCTTTCTTTGAACATAATTTGAACTGGATTATTACCAACCCGTACATAGACATGCCACCATTACATTGTTAGCAGCAGAAATTAAATGTTATCATTTCCAATAGAAATGCATTATATTTTACTGGATATATTTATCTGCTATTTTATTTAAGATGAGTGCTATTAATATAAACCTAAAATGTTATTGAAATGAAGGTTAACAATTTAAAAATATTTTAACTAAATATCTGATGGGAAAAGGGAACTAAACACCAATGCATATTATTGAGCCTTTTATATTAAGAGTCTGTTATTTCAGCATGATTATTTTGTCGTTTTATTTCATAATTTCTAGCAGCAAACCAGTTTTGTTTCCCTTGAAATGTTGTCAAATGGAATATTAAATTAATCAACAGAAGCTTAGATTAGAACACTTAACGAAAAAAATATTTAGCCTTTAAAGTGAGGCAGTTGAATGCACAGAGTATGCATGTGCTGGCGCATGGTCAGAATGGTACCACCTCTGCCTCAATTTGAGCCAGGAAAAACCCTGGCAGGATGTGAAAACTACCCAACAACGTATGACGACGGCCTTGCGTGAATGTGTAGGGTTAGCAAATGTATGTATTTTGGGTGCTTTTTAACTCAATATACTACACTACATTTGACCAATAAGATGTGAATTTCTATATAAATATGGAAATCCAATCCGATTGGTCTTTGAATGTTTAACCAGAAGAATTAGAATTATTTGTTTATTCATGGTTCGTAAAACATTTAGTATCAATTCAGACAGAATCAAGTTCATAAAAAGTAAGAAATTTATTTCTAAACAACTAAAAACATGACAACTAGGGAACACTTAATGTGATGAATGAATCTAAGTGGATGGAATGTGAGGTGTGATGATGTGTGAATGTGATGTTATCAGAACCTTCGTATCTGGAGATAAGGAGTTCTGAGTGGGAGTGAATTTGGTCTGCTATAAACTATAAGTGATGGTTTATAAAACCACATCAGACACAATCTGTCTAGTCTACATACCCTCTCGGAGACCCCTGTTGTAGATCCAGAATGTCAGGAAGTCCATGGACCCCAAAGGTACTGAAGTCCGTAGAAGAAACCGCAGTGCCACTAGACCGGTCTCGAGATGTCTCCAGGTCACAACAGGTAGTTATTTGAAACTATGGAAGACTCTTAAGGAGTCGGAGCTGGTTCAGCTTTATTCTGAAGGAACAGTTTGCGGTCAGCTGTAGCATGTAACAGGTTTTGACAGCTTGTCAAAAGATGCGATGGGAGAAGAGGTTTCCTCCGATGGCCAGTCAGAGTTAACTCAACTGAATCACTTAGGAAGTAATTCTGTTTTAATAATGGCCATATTTTGGTTTACTGACAAATCAGAACTTGCCATGAAAAGGGGTTTTGCCAACCAACCTCAGATACATACCTCCCTCAGATATGAAGATGCTGATTTTGTGGATAAGAAAATATCTATGTGCAGTGACGTTAATTTTAACTTGCGTCATGGAGATATGGTGAGTGTGTCTTGTCCAGTCATGTACGCGATTAAATATATGGGTCATATATTTCATTTCATCCTTATTAAACTAAGCACAGATTAATCAAACCTTTCATTTAACCACATTGTTCATTCCATTTCATCATTATTTTAACACTTCATTATTTATAATGGTTCATTCTTATAAAAGTTCATTTCATTAAATGATCTAATTATGAAGGTTCATTTTTTTCCGTGAAGCAAAGCAGTCTTGGATAAGAGGGAGCTTGCGAGGGACCTTGGGCAAAGTACAGTATCTTTCTTGCAGATTAAAGGCGGCAGCTTCAGACTAATGTCTCCATCTGACCGGATACTGGAGAGGTTAAACTGTAGATGAAAAACTGACCATTTCTGGAGGCTACAAATGTTTCACCAGAATGAAACCAAGAGAAATATGTAAAAGAGAAATGTGTAAAAATGTACAGTTACAGGAAATGCAAATGAGGGAAACTTCACATTTGTCCTCTTAGCAGCTGCGACTTGTTTCTACTGTAGCTTGTCTGCTCTGAGAGAAAATTGTCATTTGTCTTTAAAGAGCTAACAGACATCATGGCCAAATCCAGGAGCTACAAGACGTTGCTCTACGTTTGGGAAGCCTGGCACAATGACTCCGGCGTGCCTATAAAGGAGTACTACCCCAGGTTTGTCGAGCTCAGCAACAAAGCCTCTAGAGGAGATGGTGAGAATATATTTATTAAATGGAAAAACTGCAAAGACAAATGGCAAAAAGAAATCCAACACAGAGGATGTAAACTGATCTAATTTGGGACGTCTAATTCTGTAGGATTCAATGACACTGGAGCAGAGTGGCGCTCTTGGTTCGAGTCTCAAACTTTTGAGCAGGATATAGAAAAGCTCTACAGGACCATCGAGCCACTTTACCTGAACCTGCATGCATTTGTGCGCCGCAAGCTCTACAACTTCTATGGACCCAGATATATCAACCTGAAGGGACCGATTCCTGCACACCTGCTGGGTACGGTGCATTTGGTTACAGATGTGTTTTTAAAAAAAAGGTAGTTTAAAATGGGAAATATGTCCATAAATGGAGCTGTTTTTACAATTCCTTAATGTTAACTGAGGTCAGTAGCAGCATGGTATAATGATGCAGACATGGAACTGAATAAACATTCTTTGTGAAGGCATTTCCTTTAGTGGAATATCTCATATGGAGTCAGAATAGCCTTGTAAGTGTTTCCATCCTCACTCTCAGGAAATATGTGGGCCCAGACCTGGAACAACATCTTTGACATGATGGTCCCATTTCCTGACAAACCCAACCTGGATGTGACAGCTGAAATGGTTAAACAAGTCAGTGGGAAAACTTGTGCTACTGCAGTGGGAAAGGCTTCTAAATTTTCTGAATGTTTGTAAAATGACTCTTATTACCCACAGGGCTACAATGCTACACACATGTTCCGTGTGGCCGAGGAGTTCTTCACCTCCTTGGATTTAGCAGAAATGCCTGAAGAATTCTGGGAAGGTTCTATGCTTGTTAAGCCGGAGGATCGAGAGGTAGTGTGTCACGCGTCTGCCTGGGACTTCTACAACCGCAAAGACTTCAGGTAAGCTGGTTTATCTGGTAAACTATTAATCTGTAAAGCTTGTATTCAATAATCATTAAACCTCCTCAGGATTAAGCAGTGCACCACAGTGACCATGGAGCAGTTCATCACTGCTCACCATGAGATGGGACACATTGAGTATTTCTTGCAGTACAAGGACCAGCCTGTGGGCTTTCGCGATGGAGCCAACCCCGGATTTCACGAAGCCATCGGCGATCTTATGTCACTTTCTGTTTTGACCCCAAAGCACCTGCACAAAATTAACCTGCTAGAATCTGCTACCTCTGACGAAGGTAACAATGCCACCCTGTTGAATATCAGTCTTCAAACCTGAGTTTTACCAAAACCAACTTTGGATGTTTCCTCCCCAGAAACTGACCTCAACTTCCTGTTGAATATGGCTCTGGAGAAGATTGCCTTCCTTCCTTTTGGCTACCTCATTGACCAGTGGAGATGGGGGGTGTTTGATGGGCGCACCACTCCTGATAAATACAACTCTGAGTGGTGGTACCTCAGGTGGGGCTTAGTTTAAATTTACATATTGCTACAGTTTTAGCTAATATTAGGATTTTTACATACTTTTGTGTAATAGTCTTAATGCTTAGCCTTTTCGGAATGTACCTCTTTTATTAAATTTTTTTTGGCACTCTTTTCTTATAGAACCAAATACCAAGGAATTTGCCCGCCCACCAAGCGTACAGAGGACCAATTTGATCCTGGTGCAAAATTCCACATCCCTGATAATTATCCATACATCAGGTATCTGATCTCATGTTTTTCAGTCAAAGTGGAATGGTCCCAGGCAACAAGTAGGACCCATTGGCTTTCTGGGGTTGAATATACATCTCCAACATGATCATACAAAAATCCTTTGAATGGGTTTGTGCTTAAAGGGGAACATGGAACACAATTTTCAAACGGCTTGCAGCTAAAACTAGTAGTGTATACCAAATAAAATTTTTAGTTGAAGTGAAATTGTACTACAATTGTAAGCAGGTAAAAAAAAATTCTAGACTAAATTCTTCTAGCCCAAGGGGCAAATTAAACAAGCCCAATGACCATTCTAGATTCATTTTGTTAGTGCCCTTCAGGTAAAATAACTTATTCCCTGGTTCTTTAAAGGTAATAAGTAGTTTCCTGCTCCTCTGCAATACTGGTAGAAAGTGGAATTACATCCGTCATAAACAGCCCTGTTGTAGCTAGCTTTAATGAGCTAACATTGGCATGAGCAAATTAATACTAAAACAAAGTAAAGTTCTACACTGTTGAACAAAACGTGTAACTTATTAGTCCATTAGCAACAAAGCCATGTCACAATCTGTATGTGGTTTTGTTACTTTAGCTCCCTCAAACTAGTGTAGGCCATGCCGACGTTCTCTCTGGTTTTAGCTCTTTGCTTCACCTCCAAAGACATTACTTACTTTTTACTTCCAGTCTCTGCCATGAAGCCAATAGAAAAAGCAAACTTCTTTTTCTTCTGTCTTTTTATTGATTGGCAAACTGAGAATGCTAATCGCTAGCATCACAGCTAACAGCCATAAAGGAGGTAATGAGTGCCCCCTCGGACACCCATCTGCTCCACAAACAAGTGTGGTTGTTCGTCAGCAGAGGGATGCAAAGTGGTGTAATATGAAAAAGGTCAAGTTTCTAACGCGACCAACCTAATTTTTTTTTCTCCCCTGTCTTCTGCAGCTATTTTATCAGCTACATCCTGCAGTTCCAGTTTCACGAGAAGCTGTGTGAAGCAGCCCATCACACTGGCCCTCTGCACACATGTGATATCTACCAGTCTGCAGAAGCAGGAGCCATTCTAAAGTATGCCCAAGCCAGATCTTGAGTTCAAAACACTGAAAATGCAACATTAATGTCTGTCCTTCTCAAAGGAAAGTTCTTCAGGCTGGCTCTTCCAAACCTTGGCCTGATGTGCTCCAGGAGGCCATTGGCACCAGAGAGATAAATGCCAACTCACTAATGAAATACTTTGAGCCTGTAACAAAGTGGCTGCAAGAACAAAATGTGAAAGAGACCCTGGGATGGCCTGAATTTAACTGGGTCCCACCTATTCCTGAGGGCTACACAGGAGATGGGTGAGACCTTGAATCCAAGTGGCAACAGTGCTATTGTGAAGTATTAAATGAAGAATATTTCAGACATGGTGCACATCAGTCTACTAATTTCCTCCTTTTCTTGTACCCAGTCAAGAATACTGATGTGGTCCATTCAAAGAAGTCATGTGAAGTGATGTAGAACAGACTTCACTGAATCCCAAGAGGGAGGCCATGGCGAGAAGTTGTCTGGAGTCTCTGAACTCTTGCTGCTGCAGCTCTTTAGCTTCATTGTACATCTATGATATTCTTTGTACGAATAAATAAAACAAATAAATTGAGTCATTGCTTTTATCAAATCAGTTCAAATTTTATTAGAACTTTCATGCATCAAATCCAATTGACATGAGTTTAAATCAAGCCCGCACAATCCTGGGAATCTTAAGCCTGGCCTACCAAACCCGTCCTGTTTAATTCTGCACAGAAAGAGTCTGGTAACTGACAGGCTGAGGGGCGGGACTAGGCAGCTCAAAAATAGCCGATCAGAAAAATGACGGAAATACTGATTGTAGCGCGCGATAGTTTATTTTAGCTGTAGTAAAAAATAATAGCGTCTGACAACGGTGCAAACAACTTGATTTTTTTTTTTTTGGAAGAAATTCTTTGAGCGCTTCTACTTGTGGTTTTAAAGACATTCAAGTAATGTAGAACAGAGGAAAGAGCCACAGCGAATTCCGCTGTTGTCTTGTTAGAGAAACTGAGCATCGCTGTGTGTTAGGTAATTTCATTTTCCCATCCAAGGTTACCTGAGGGAAAGTTAAACACGCAGGGGTTATATTGATAAGCCGATTTAACCATAAGCTGATAACCCATACCAATAATTGACCAACAACCAAACAATTTAGACTTTGCAAAGGGAGAGCAAAAACAAATACACACCACACAAGGGTTGTCAGTTCACTCTCATCAGACAAAGCCCTCAGAGTATTAAGGACACACAAAATGGTAAAACGCACACACATTTACACACTAAAACATTGGCGTACACACTTTGACATTCCTTTAGGCTCTCAGCGAGCAGGGAGACAACCATCGCGGGCCCAGGGCGTTCTTACTGGTAAGCCAGGACTGGAAAGAGGCAAGGTCAAACGCCTGTCTGTTGCTAGGGTAAAATAAACTGGATGAAGCTTTAGAAAACTGATTAAGTTGTTTAAAAATTAAAATGTATCCATAATTTATCTAACAATCCCCCCTGTTTAAACGAAATTCATCCCATAAATTGGCAGATTAATCAATCACAATACCACGATCAAGACACATACGTTTGTAGCCGTAAAAATCAACCTCTCACACACAAAAAACCCACAACATAAGTAACGACCTCCAAAACAAAAGGGCTGTAAGAGAAGGAACAACCTGTACCACAGAATCACAAAAGGAGTAACAAAATTAAAGCAGCTGCAAAACTATTCAACCTGGAAGACCAAGTCAAAACAACTATTCTGATTCACAATCAAAGGATAACGATTAAACCGATTAAGTTAAAGAAATAAAAGAAAAGAAAATTAACTAAGCTGATTACCAGGACATCAACAGTGGTTACAGAAACTGCATTGTAGAAACCACAATGAAACTAACTTTATTAGGGGAAACTATGAACTAAAGCATCTGTCATGAGCCTGTCAACCAGTCTTTTACCTCAAACAAGGCTTAAACACAAAAAAAACAAACATTGTCACAAAAGCCAATACCAATTTCTTTTTGACAGCCAATCTATGAATCATGCGATGCATCACGGGGCTTAGTAGCTCTAATTGGGGCAGAGCCGAGGGTCACAGGGCTTATCAGTAGGGTTAATGCGGGACTGCAGTGGGGGCAAAGCAATGAAGATCACGTTGGGATGGTGTTGCACTTTCGTCGATATGATGCAGAAGGATCCTGGTGGTGGGGCTGCCGATGTGTGGGGCTTGGTTTTTGTAGGTGGACAAAAGGGCAAAGGGTCATAACAGACCCAGACTCTCTTACTTCAGCTCGAATGTCCTCGTAGAGACGTCGTCCTCATGCGATGTGAGGCGGGTGGCAGGGAGCCAATCTGCACTTTAGGCCACACCAGTTGTGTGGCAGGAAAGAGCCATCCTGAGCAAAAGGCGTGTGTCAGCAACTTTGATGTTGTTATAGCAACGTGGGATCCTGTGACGGGTGGGACGGTGTGGGGATGTCATTTTGGTCAGGGAGCCATGAAACCAGATGGGAGATTTGGGGTGCTGGATCTTGACATTGTTGGAGGCAGGTCACAGTGTCATGTGGACGGACTCAGGAGGAGTCTCAACCACCAGGTGTCGATTCCGTTGTTCCCCCCAACTGCTGCTGTTTCCGCTCGTTCCGTCAGATGCTAAGACCACCAAACATCAGCAGTGGTGTGGTGGATGGACCCTGCAAGCTTAAGGCAGATCATGTACTTATCTACCGTCCTTGGTGAGCAAGCATGAGGATGGTGCAGTCGTGGCGGCCCCCTCAGCACTTCTGTAGCAGTGGGAGGGATGAGTGACCTTGATGCCCCATCTGGTAGCAGCACATGCATCAGGACCCCAATCTCTTTGGTTTCACGGCCTGTAGCGAGAAAGCACAAGAGTCTGCGAGACCACTGTGGAATTTGACTTGTCTTCAGCAACGACTATCCAATATTCTTTCTGATCAGTCCAATCGGGACCCCCAGTGGGGGCTGAAATTCACCAGAAACTGACCACCACAGTCCACAAGATATCACCCTAAGCTAAAATCAAGACCACACACACATGTGAGGTCAGCATACAAACAGGACGAAGAAGGCCGGGCCCCCTCCAGTTACAGAGTTACAAAATACTGAGATGGACAGAAAATGCCCTGAGACATTCTTTTATGAGTTAAAAATGACCATGAAATACAAACAAAAACCTAGCATTGCGTTCCCCCTGAATGTAACTGAACAACAAAAGATAAAATAATAACAATAAACACAATGTCATATCAAAAGACCTGAGTAAGGTAACCCATTATTGAGCTAGAATTATGACTCAGTTTATCAACAAACCACACCAAAGCATATTCATTAACTCATGTTCCATGATATATTAAACTAACCTACACCAGTAATTTAAATAACCCATCATTGGTTGACAAGACTCATTTAACAGGAAGTTTCTAAAGCTATGAAAGACCCGAACACCTTTTTGTAACACAGCAAGTCAAATCATTATGTCCAGAAATCCCAACTGGGTAAGAAGTCTGCTTATGGCAGGAAAACCAGGAAACTAAAACAAAATCACTAGTCAGGATGTCCATAAGTGTTTAAAGATTAGGCGACTTAGGGTCAAAACAAAACATGTAAACACCAGTCACAGAAAAGAAAAGGTTAACATATATCGCCCCAGGACTGAATGAACTCAAACAACATGAAGTCGTCATAATATAAACCATTAGATAAGAAAAGACCGTCTCAGCAAAGGAAAAGAACAGAGTTTTAACCATGAACCCTGACTAGGGTAGGAAATCTAGTTTCTAACGGTCTGGAACCACTGCGTTTGTTTCAGGGTGGACGACGGTCAAAATAATCAAACAAAATCTAGCTCTCACAACCCCTAAAACATCATATAATAAAAACCTAAATGCTTGTATCTAACCCTAGCTGCCTGACCTATTCAAAACAAGCAAATGGTTAAAAAAAACAATGGCAGACCACCCTTACTGTAGCAGTTACTTAAACAAAACGTCACTAAGTAGAACTAATAACCAGAAGATAGTTTTGGCTATTAATTATTTGTTGGTAGAAACCATGATTGTACTGCGTTGTGTACAATTCCAGTACCAAGACCAAAGAAAATATCCCAATAAAATAAAATAAAACAGAATAACTAAAATAATAAAACAGAATATGGTCAGAAGGTCCCACTGTAAAATTTAACAATACGTTTCACAAAATCAGCTCATCACTCCAAAGAAAATGACAAAGATCAAAATGAAACCACTTTTTTCTAAATTAACCTAATTAATACAAACAGTAAAAGAAAACAGGTAAAAGAGTTCTTAATATTTTTGGCTTGGTTGTTTAGACTGCCACTGTAAACATTTGGCTGGAAACCTGCACGAGCTGAGCTGAGCTGAAGTTTACATTTCAGAAAGGGACTGATGTTGTTAAATTAAGACCGTTGGAACCAAAACAAATGACAAGTTAAATTAAATGATAGATGGTCAATTTAAATGACAAGTTAAAGTAAATGATAGGTGGTCAAGGTGAATGACAAGTTAAATGAAATGATTCATCCCCCTGTTGACACATGGCCTGGGCCACGTGCCACCAGAGCGGCAGCGTTAAAAGGAACAAGTTTACCAAGTGTAAAATAGAGACAAAGTTGCATTTTTAATCTTAATCCAGTAGCAAAAGGTGTCCTTGGACGCAGATTTAGCTACCTCAACAGCTAAACTGTTCCCACAGGAAACCGAGTCTGGTAAAACCAGAGTTGTGTTAGAATGAATATATCCTATTTTAGACTTACAAAGGCTGTTTCAGTTGAAGGGGTAAAAGAGTTTGTCATTTTAAAATGGCAGTAAGGCACTTTCTTTACAGCTCTTCAATCTTATTGAGCTGAAGCTATTCATGAGGCTATTTACAACAGTCTAGATACCAGAGAACATAAAAATTATAATTTTATAATAATTTTTCTTATAATTCTGCAACTTTGGGTTAAATCCAGCAGAAAAGTGAAATGTGTAAAGGGGCTGGGTATTTTCGCATTACGGGGGACTAATTAGCAAGGTCTAAAAACTGCATCATCTGCTCCTTAGTCAGGGGTGTTGAGGTATTCAACATGGTTTCCTGTCTTCCTGACTGGATCGGCCTTCACCTGACAGCAGTGTGTCCCAAATACCAGACCGGAGATTTTTTACCCACTGTAGATTCTTTTTACTGGCTTTGTTCCTTGTTAGGTTAAGATCATCCACATAAACAAGGTTTTAGAGAGAATAGCGGGATTTTTGAAGTTGAGCTTTAAGTTTTGTAGATGAAAGCAAACCAAAAAAAGAAATTGTGAGTCAGGATGCACAGGAACCTAAAAAAAGCATTGCTTCAGGGGACAAAGGGTATTGTGTAAATTAGGGCTGCAACAAACGATTATTTGGATAATCGATGAATCGGATGGGGTCTCGACACGATTAATCGATTAATCGGATTACATGGGGACATTGTTAAAAACTGCTAGGGAAACGTTATTTCTCTCCTTCCTTCACTTTATTAAACACAACAATATTAGAAAACAGTTCAATAGCAGAAAAACAACATGCCATCACCTAAATTGTCTTATAAGGTATATAGACAGAGACCCTAAGCTACACCTATCTGTGACCTAAAATGCTTGGTCCAAGTTAAACAGCTTAGTCAACCCCTACCAGAGTCTAACTCCACTCCCACGTCATGTTTGAAAAATGCAACATATGCTGTTGCCTGGCCGACCGAGAGGGCGGAGCCGCTAACAAATACACACACTCAGGCTCACGACAGCATTGTGACATCATAATGTACCAGTTTACATCATAGCATACTTCTTAGCCAATAGCGGTGGCAGATTTAAATTAAAATACAGTGCAGAGTTTTTACCTGACAACGGCACAACACTGCCAGTTTTAGGCAGAATATTTACATTTTAACTAAGATGCACTGAAGTGCCAAATTATTGACGACACGTGTCTGCAGCACGATTAGACAATCATTTATTTAGTTTATCAGCAAAATAAATGTTTATTTGGGGAATTCTCATCTGTTTTGTTTGATCTCATCTGTAGACATTTATTATAACTGGGGATGTCAAACTAATTTTTAAATGTAATTAAACATAGGCTGTGAATTAATCAAAATTAATCACTATTTCCAAAAATGACTGAAAAAATACCAAATAAAACAAAAGTAAATGAATGCCATCCTCCTTGTGATGATGCCCTGGGCGACTGCCATAAAGTCACATCAAGAAATGCTGCTGATCATTCCAATGATCCCAAATAGACTCACATTAGGCCACATGAAAGCAACTGAACCCAAAAATATATTAACCAGTAAATAACTGCACTCTCACACAACACGCCTGCAGCGAGAGTTAGTACTTCTCCCTCCCTTTTAAAAGCATTTTCGCTTCTGAGGACTTGTGTATATGTGGATACGTGTGTATGTCTATATGGATATGTATAGATGAAGTATGTGCGAGCATATGGGTATGTGATGCACTTTAATGTATGCATGTATGAATAGGTATATGTGCAAAAATCCTTTAGCTTTTTGAATTGTTATTATTACTATTAATTTTCTCTTTCTTCTTTACAAATTGAACTCAAGTCAGCTAACCAGTCGAGCAATTATTTTGTATAGGCTAATTTATAATTATTGTTATTTAATTGTAAAAATGTCATTTTAGTTAAAAAGGGGCAGATAACATAAGTTTTCTTCTGTATGTTCCCTTTTCATTTTCTTGGTTTGAGAAACCTCAATTTATTTGTTAGTAGTCTTGTTATGAGCTTTACGGGCTAACAAGGTAGAAACCCAAGCATCATAAGGCAGAATGGGAACTCCAAGTTGATCATTTTTGAAGGATTGGACTCTTCCACCACAAATTAGCAATCCAGAGGTCTGGTCTCTATAAACATCCAACCTGTCTGTAGTAGTACTTGGGATTGTCATGCATTGTTGTGCAGCAAGGTATATATCTCCTAATCCTTGTACTGTGTTAGAAAGCTGTTTACACCTGTGGTGGTAGCGGGTCCATTTGGACCCATGATTTAAAAATGCTTGAAAATGCTTAAAATCTCCAGTTTTCTTCAAATGTTGCTTTTCAGCTAATTGCTGGCTTAGTGTGTTTTCATAGAAATGGAACCAGTGTGTGAATTGTTTTTTAGTTGGCTCCACAGACACAGTATTTTAAAATATACCACTCGTTTTTGATTGTAAAACTGTTTAAATTCACTAAATATATTTCTTTTTCTTATAGAATGAGCAATAATAAACTCTACATGTGTTATAAACTGATATTAAGTAATAATAAGTACACCTACCCCCAAAAAAAATTTTTTTTTACTATATAAAATTATTAGCAATAGTGTCATCTTTGGTGTTTCAGGTCAAAACATACCCACATATATAAATGATAGGATAAAGACAACAAGTCAATTTTTTCCCCCATAAAACCCACTTTTATTTCACCAGACCAGCTGACCAAATAATTTAACCATAAAATGAACAATGATAAACAACACTGTGTGTGTGTGGTTGTGTGTGCGCACATGCACCTGCATTCACCATGAACTGAACATTGAAAATAATATTGTGTTAGCGCAGGTATGTTGTTCTGAATTAACCATAATCTAAACAAAGGAAACAATTAAAACAAACCATAATTTGAACTGTGTGTGTGTGTGTGTGCGTGCGTGCGCGCGCGTGTGTGTTGGTGATGTGGGCCATAACTGTGCACATTGGACCATAATTGATCCTCAGAACAACCCACAGCTTTTAAGTGATGCATACAACAGCCAGTTTTCTCTGCCGGGTCATTTTGGACCTGTAACACCACAGATGTAACTTTTTTTTTTAGACCTTTAGAATTTACTAAAATTGTAAAAATTGATTTTGCTGCATTTAAATAGATGTGTATCTGAGGATTAGATGAAGCCTCATTCCAGGACAAAAAAGGAAAGTGTATTTTTTTACACAGTTAAACTCGAAAACGGGTCAGTTTTGACCCTAACACAACATAAGGGTTAAAGTATCTTTTTGTTCTGTCACAGAAATAGTTCCTTGCAAAGGAACTGCCTCCCACTTTGATTGATCCACAGCTGGTTTCGATCTGAAGGACTTTTTTACCGCCCTCCAGACCCATTCAATAGTCTTGACCAATTGGACATGATTGCTTAAATGTTTAATGTTTATGAGGTTTTGAACTAATGACTGATGAGGAGACCGTTTCAGGTCTGATTGGACTTTGTTTTGATACTGTATTGACTCTTCTTGCCTTCCCCTTCCTTTACTTCTTGTTAGAACAGCAACACATGCTTTCTTTTGTAGTTTTGTGACACTGTCTCTAGCAGTAGCTTCAAGTTCTATGGCAGACTCGATTGGCCATTCGTGCACTGACAATGTCAAAAATACAGGACCTTTCTACCATTCAGACTCTTCATCCAGGTCTTGAGGCTTGGCTCCTCTTGTGGTTAAGTCTGCAATATTTAAGGAACCAGGAACCCACCACCAATCTTAAACCTTTGTGTTGCCTTGAATTTCTCCAATCCTGTTGGCAAAGAATGTGTGGAAACCATAACTTTCCCTCTGGATGGTGTCAAGGACTGTCTGGCTATCAACAAAATGGTACCATCTCCCAACCTTGATCCTGCTGTGTAGCAGGGGCGGATTTAGGACTGAATAAGGGCCGGGGCCACACAGCCACACACACACACACACACACACACACACACATGACACACACGTCAACATCATATATATTTGTGTTGCACCACATAATTTTTAATCTGAAGCTACATGTTAAGCATATTCAGGGCAGAGTATTGTTCCTGTTACTGTTTAGTGTGAGATGATAGCAAATATTCCCTTTCTTTCTCCAACAACTTTACCTGATAGTAAGCTAACTTTAGGCAAACCAGCAGCACAACAAATATTTTCAAATAAGGCTCACAAACCTGAGTCAACACCAGTATCATCAAAGCTGTGGTTCTGTCTTTGTACTTTTTGTCTAAAAAACATCCTTATGTCCATGTACTGTTATCGCTACGTGTTGGATACACCGTGTATGTTAACGCAGGTCAACAGCAAGCCAAACTCATTTTTCATGAGCCAGGAAACTGAGCGTCTTACTCCTTTATTACGGTCTTCTTGACAGCTTACAATCTTTTACAATTGTGGCTTGAATAGCTCGATGAAAGTGCTGAGTGAAACTGAAAATAAACCAGAAATAAAATACCATTTAGCTCTTTAACATGTGAAATAAATGCATAAAAAGAAATATCTATTAATATAAAACATGTTTCAAAGTTAGTCTCAGCTGCTAAGTAATGAAAACAGTAGTTTGAACAATCCTCTGATATGCAAATTAGGCCGCTAGCATCATTGCTATGTTAATAGACCATGCTCTAAGCAAAAGCCGTTTCTGGGATAAGGCTAATTCCTGGAACAAGCACAATCACAAAACGATCTCTAAATCAGCTGTTATGAACATATAAAAGAACCAGAACATGTAATAAACTTACAGTCATTGCTTTCGATGATGTATATAAAGATTCAGGGCACAGGAGATGAAGTTTAAACACGGATAAGCAGGCTTTCTGTACAACGTTTTTTCCCAACTGACTGTAGCTTCTGCTTCCCACAATGCATTGTGAACACAGATTTCTCCTTCAAAATAAGATACAGAAAAACTAATGCTGACTGTATAGAAAATATTTTTTTAACTAAATGACTCTCTTTTTTAACATCAGTTACCACAAAATGAAATATGACGTTTTTATCACTAAATTATCATGAATCCTTTTTAATCTTTTACTTGGGACAGAACACTCCCCGCCTGGCATTACTGATGCCACCACTACTTTTTCTCAGTCATTTCCTTTTCTAAGAGCACAACAACATCTGAAATGGGACGCAGGTAAGTCTTTGAGACTCCCTGGGAAGATGTCCTCACTTCGACCTTTCTGACCTTCCCATCACGGCTTGGAAAGGTCGCAGTGACAATAGCCATTGTCCATTCGTTTCTGGGTGCTTGATTGTGTTTCAACAACACAATGTCGCCTGACTGAAGGTTGCGGTGTGTTCCATGCCACTTGCGCCTTGATTGGAGGGTGTTGAGATATTCGTTTCTCCAGCGACTCCAGAAACCATTGGCGAGTGCTTGCACTTGTTTCCATTGGTTTTTGAGCAAGTCTTTTCCACAAAAGTCTCCTGGTGGAGAAGGAACGCCCTGCTTTTGGGTCAGTATCATCGCAGGACAGAGTATGAATGGTGAGGAAGGGTCAGTTGAGATAGGGACCAAGGGCCTTGCGTTGATTATGGACGATACCTCAGCCATTAGGGTACAAAGCACCTCATGTGTCAGACGGGTGTGCTTGTTCTGCAAGAGCATTGAATCCAATATTCGGCGAGTTACCCCAATCATCCTTTCCCAGATGCCTCCCATGTGGGACGCATGTGGGGGGTTGAACTCCCATGTGCAACCGTTGGCGTGAAGATGGTTGACAATGTCGGGAGGGTTGTTGTTTGGTTGTGCCATGCCAAGCTCCACGCTTGCTGCGATGAAGTTGGTGCCCCTGTCTGACCGCATTTGCTTGGCTGGGCCTCTTATTGCAAAGAATCTGCGTATTGCATTTATGCAGCTGCAAGTGTCCATAGATTCAATGACTTCGATGTGTACACCTCTTGTAGTCATGCATGTAAAAAGTATTGCCCACCTCTTACTTTGTGCTGCGCCACCTCGTGTGCGTCGAGTGACCACTGACCATGGGCCAAACACATCCAACCCGACGTATGAAAATGGAGGGCATGTTTCAAGTCTTTCAGGCGGGAGATCTGCCATTTTTTGAGTCTCTAGTTTCCCCCTGAGTTTCTTGCATGTTATGCAGTGGTGGATGATGGATGAGACCAGTCTTTTGCAGCCTACAATCCACAGTCCAGCTTGTCTAACTGCACTCTCTGTGAACTGCCTTCCTTGATGCACAACCTTAGCGTGATAGTGTAGGACAATCAACCTTGACACATGGTGCTTGGTTGGCAGAATTTTTGGATTCTTTAACGCTGGGTCCAATGAAGCATGTTTGAGGCGACCTCCAACCTTGATGAGGCTTTCATCCAAGAAGGGGTCAAGGGCCACAATGGGGCTAGAGCTGTGGATGGTTTGACTGGTTTGGAGAGCAGCATACTCATCAGGAAAGGCGTCCTTTTGAACAGACTGGAGAATGAGGTTACTGGCGGCATCCAACTCCTCTGGAGTGCGTGGTTCTCTGCATCTATGCCAGCCCCTACATGAATGATTTGACGAGTTGCTTGATGAGTGAGAACGAGCTTGGTGAACTAAGAAGGCAATGGCACGTACCAGTGATGTCCAGCTTGAAAAGCGTTGGAAGCGTTCTGGTGTGAGTCCGCTCTTCTTAGTCTGAGTAATGAAAGTACCAACTTGTCGGATTTCAGAGTCCACTTCAGGTTCAACCAGCTCAAACGATTCATGTGTCTCTGGTTCATGTAGTTTGTAAAGGAAGTCTGGTCCCTTAAACCACATAGTGTCCATGAGCTGCGATGCTGGTACCGACCTGGTTGCTAGATCAGCTGGGTTTTGCTCTGATGTAACATAATGCCACTGTTCAGGGGATGTGGACTGGCGTATACGATGAACTCGATTATGTACGTAGACGTAAAAGCGCTTTGAATTGTTGCAAATGTACCCAAGAACCACCTTGCTGTCACAGTAGAATTTGACAGTGTTTGGTTTATGATCAAGTTCATCCAGAATGAGCTCTGCCATCTCCACCGCTAGAACTGCTCCACAAAGCTCAAGACGAGGTATTGTGGGTTCTGGTTGAGGTGAAAGTTTTGCTTTCCCAAGCACAAATCCAACTTCACATTGTCCATCCGCGTTGACTGTTCTCAAATATGCAACTGCGGCAACAGCCCAGCTTGAGGCGTCACTAAAGACACATAGTTCAGTGTAAGTGGACTTGGAAAGGGAGGCCGGTACATAGCAGCGTGGCACTCTGAGGCTGCTCAGATCTTGGAGGGACATTTTCCATGTTTCCCATGCATCCATCTCCTCTTGGGGGAGAGAAGCATCCCAATCTTGGACTCCTTTTGACATTTTGCGTAACAAGAGTCTGCCTTTGATTGTCACTGGCGATGCTAGTCCTAAGGGGTCGAAGATGCTATTAATCACTGAGAGAACCCCGCGGCGGGTATAGGGTTTATCATCGACAGCTACCTTGAAGGTAAATGAGTCAGTGTTAATGTCCCAGCACATTCCTAAACTTCTTTGGGCCGGTAAAGCATCGTCGCCGAGACTCAAGTCTTTGATGCCGGAGGCCAAATCTTCTGGCTTGAATGCTTGCATGACTGTGACACTATTCGAGGCGATTTTGTGGAGCTTGAGGTTAGACTCAGCTAAGGATGCACATGTGCGCTTGAGCAGGTCGATGGCTACAGACTCTGTGGGAACTGAAATCAGCCCGTCATCGACATAGAAGTGTCTCCCGACAAAGTGTCTTGTGTCTGCTCCAAACTTTGCCTCACCTTCTTGGATGGCTCTTCGAAGACAATAGATGGCTACTGCTGGTGACGGGCTATTACCAAAAACATGTACCCGCATGCGGTACTCCTGCACCTCTTTTGACAAGTCATTGTCCTTGTGCCACAGGAACCTCAAATAATCTCTGTGGTCTGGTCTAACCAGGAACCCGTAAAACATCTGCTGGATGTCAGCGGTGGTTGCAATGAGCTCCTTCCTAAACCGAATCAGGACACCAAGGAGGGTGTTATTGAGATCAGGGCCTGTTAATAACACTGAATTGAGTGACACGCCGGACTGCTCGGCACTAGAGTCAAAGACCACCCGTATCTGACCGGGCTTCTGGGGATGATATACGCCGAAAATAGGCAGGTACCAGCACTCAGTGTTCTCATCAATGGGTGGCGCAATCTCTGCGTGGTTGTTTTTAAACAGCTTGTCCATAAATTCTGAGAACTGCTCTTTCATTTGAGGGTTTTTGGTTAAGTTGCGTCTCAGTGAGTTAAGTCTAGACAGTGCTTGGTCTCTGTTATTTGGAAGTGGCAAGCGAGGGGACTTGAATGGTAAAGGAGCAATCCAGTTATTGTTTCCATCCTGGTGGACTTCCTTTTCCATTATCTTAAGGAAGGTCTCATCCTCAAAGGACAGGGCATGCTGGTTGTCATACTCTGTGTGCTCAAAAACTTTCTCTCCAAGCTTTTCTTCTGCTGCGTTGAGTTTTGAACTGTGTTTTAAGAAGCTACTCTTGTGCTCCCCGCCATAGCATGGTTTTTCTTTGATCTTCATGCTGTTAGGACAAGGAGTGAGGAGAGATGGTCGTCCGTTAGACAGCACGTGAGTTTTATAGGCATTGACCGTTGGCCTGTGAGCATTGAGGCATACTTCCCCCACGATTACCCAGCCTAGGTCTAGGCGCTGAGCAAAGGGAGCGTTGTGGGGTCCGTTGACTTGTTGTCGTGCCTTGTGGACTTGTATGATGTCTCTGCCCAGTAAAACTGCAATCTGGGCTGCTGGGTCGCGCTTAGGTATCAGGGGAGCCAGATGTTTCAAGTGGGCATGGGCAAGAGCGACTTCAGGTGTAGGTATTTCATCTCTGTTAAATACTATCTCATCACATTCAATGAGAGGAGGAAGATCTAGACGTGGGCCTTCACCTATAGGCTCAATCTGGAACCCCACTGCTTTCCTGCCGAGCATTTGAGTTAAACCAGCACACGTTCTCATATGGTATGTCAGAGGGCTACCCTTGATTCCAAATAGCTCAAAGAATTCAGGACGTGCCAGCGAGCAATTGCTCTGATCATCAAGAATGGCGTACATCTTAACAGACCGTTCTGGTTGACCTTTAGGGAAAACTCGAACTAGACATACCTTGGAGCAAGAACGCGGAGGACAGCCTTCACCACAGATCTCAGTGCATCGTGACGTTACCTTGGGTAGAGTGTTGTCATGGAGCTGAGGCTCTGGTTCAGGTGCATTTTGTGGCTGGGGTTTTTGACCCGTGGCAGGGTGCATGGCAGAGCAATGTTTTTCACTTTGGCACTCCTCACACTTGACCTTCAGGTCGCAGTCCTTTATTGTGTGCATGGGAGAACAACAGCGAAAACATCGTTTGTGTTCTTTGAGTATGTTTTGTCTTTCTTGTAGTGGTTTGATCCGGAAAGCTCTACATTTGGCTAGAGGATGCGTTTTCTTGTGGACTGGACAATAACGTGTTAGATCATCCTCTCTGATACTAGCAGAGGCACTTGTATCAACCTCTGTTCTATTTACAGTTAGAGGTGATTTGTAGCTAGTTTGTTTGAATGGTGGTCTCTCACCTTTGTTGAGGGGTTGGCTGCTGCACGACACAAAACTTGGATCGTTTCTCGCTTTTGCCTCCTCTTGGACAAACTTTACAAAGTATGAGAATGGAGGGAATGTCACATTATAATTCTGTTTGTATTTTGAACCAGTGTGGAGCCATTTATCTTGTGAGCTTGGAGGCAGCTTTTCCACTATGGGCTTAACCCCGCGTGGCGAGTCAAGGTAAGCGAGGCCTGGGAGGTAGGCTTCGTCTTTAGCGACCTGCAGCTCTAGGAGCAAATCTCCTAGTTCCCTAAGTTTAACATTGTCTCTATTTGTAAGGCGAGGAAAACCGTCCAGTTTTTTAAACAGGGCATTCTCTACTACTTCAGGTGTAGCATAACACTCCTCCAGCCTATCCCATGACAACTGGAAGGCAGCTTTGGGGCTACTGGTATAAACAGCCCGGATTCTTTTAACATGCTCTGAGGACTCTTTACCGAGCCATTTGACTAGGAGATCTAACTGCTGGCTGTATGTAAGATCAATGCCTCCAGTTGCATTTAAGAATGAAGACTGCCATGCTCTAAAATTTTCGGGGTTGTCATCAAACTTAAAGAGCCCTGTTGTGATTAACTCTCTGCGTGCAAGGAACTTAGCAAAGTCAGCCATAGGTGTATCACTATTGTGAGGAGCATGGTGACTTTTCGGTTCAACATACTCTCTTGGTGGGCCAAAAGTTTCCTCCTCTGTGTACATTTTTGAGAGTACAGGTGGAGAGCAGGTTGGCTCCCTTGGAGTGAATGATGGTGCCTTTGCTGTCAGTTTGACTTGAGGTGTTGCTTCTTCAGCCGGGTGTGACTTTAGCTGGCTTTGATGTTGCACATACTCCATAGTTCTCTGTCTGGTAACTTGTGGTGGGACTGAACTTTTTAAACTTTCTCCTTTGTCTTGTTCGACAGCTGCGGCAGCTTCCAGGACCTCTGCTTTTACCTTAGCGGCTGCAGCTTTTTTTTCTATCTCTAATATCTGTAAATCCATTTCCAGGTTTGCTTGCTGCTTTTTAATTTCCAATTGTCTCTTACTGTACAAGGCTTTGGTGTTTGTAGCTTCAGCAGAAGCTCTTGCAAAGATGGCTGCTTCTAATACACTGGACCTTGAGGACAACTTGGAAGATGAGCGCTTGGAGCCAGAGTATTTGGATCGAGAGCTAGCTTCTGATGATGCTTTGTCTCCTGAGTTAGCCATTTCTTCTGCCTTCTCCCCGTGGGCATCCATCGCTGTGGCATATACTTTATCTTCCACCAACTGCTGACGTGACTTTTCACTGTACTGTTATCGCTACGTGTTGGATACACCGTGTATGTTAACGCAGGTCAACAGCAAGCCAAACTCATTTTTCATGAGCCAGGAAACTGAGCGTCTTACTCCTTTATTACGGTCTTCTTGACAGCTTACAATCTTTTACAATTGTGGCTTGAATAGCTCGATGAAAGTGCTGAGTGAAACTGAAAATAAACCAGAAATAAAATACCATTTAGCTCTTTAACATGTGAAATAAATGCATAAAAAGAAATATCTATTAATATAAAACATGTTTCAAAGTTAGTCTTAGCTGCTAAGTAATGAAAACAGTAGTTTGAACAATCCTCTGATATGCAAATTAGGCCGCTAGCATCATTGCTATGTTAATAGACCATGCTCTAAGCAAAAGCCGTTTCTGGGATAAGGCTAATTCCTGGAACAAGCACAATCACAAAACGATCTCTAAATCAGCTGTTATGAACATATAAAAGAACCAGAACATGTAATAAACTTACAGTCATTGCTTTCGATGATGTATATAAAGATTCAGGGCACAGGAGATGAAGTTTAAACACGGATAAGCAGGCTTTCTGTACAACGTTTTTTCCCAACTGACTGTAGCTTCTGCTTCCCACAATGCATTGTGAACACAGATTTCTCCTTCAAAATAAGATACAGAAAAACTAATGCTGACTGTATAGAAAATATTTTTTTAACTAAATGACTCTCTTTTTTAACATCAATTACCACAAATGAAATATGACGTTTTTATCACTAAATTATCATGAATCCTTTTTAATCTTTTACTTGGGACAGAACAGTCCATATTCACTCATGTGTTTCCGGCAGAGAGTGTGGAAGAAGCCGGCTGCTGAAAGGCTTCTTCAGTGGTGGAGGCTCAGGCAGGCTGTATACAAACTACTGCCAGCTGCTCCCTCTCTGTTGGACTTTGGTACTGCATGTTACTTCTGCAATTTAGATCCGGGGCTTTTCATAAAACATCCGGGGCTTCAGCCCAAGTAGCCGGGCCTAACGCCGCCCCTGCTGTGAAGCTCAAAGTATGTTTTCAGGCATGATGCAAACACTGCTCCACATACCTCTGCTTTGACTACATCACCCTTTTGATCCAAAGGTGTTAACTTAGCCTTCGATTCCACCAACCTAATGACTGGGCCTTCTTGTGAACTCCACCTCAGGTACATCGCCGCCTGTTCACTCTGTTCACTCCCATCAGAGAATGTAACAGCAACAGGATCACTGCAAACTCACAAGGGGGTTAGAGCCCTGAAAAATTTGATTCTACCTAGTTGGGCATATTCTTCAAAGATCTTTACTGCATCTTCTCTGAGGTCTTCAGTAAGTGGTACATCCCATGTGTCCTTCACAAAGTGGTTTGGAACATCTTTGGCTTCCTGGAATGCTCTTCTCACCAACATAGCTTCTTTTTGCTTTGCAGGAGTCACAAGGCCAACAGGGTAGTACAGCCCTGATATTTGACTAAGGAGAACCTTTTGTGTTAAGGGATTTGGTGTTTGGGCTCTGATCTGCTCTTGCAGGAGGTCATGTGCAAGTTCTATCTTTCTCTTTCTTTTTGAAAAATTAGTGCAGTCATGACATAGTTTATCCTCTTCTACTGCATAACCTAGTCCTTTGTTTTCTTTGTTGCACATCTGTCATGATGGGTGGTAATTTCTTAACCCACATGAAGAATCACACGGAGAAGGTAAGAGAGAATAATTAAATACTTTTATTATAGAAAAAGAAACAAAAGGGGTAACAAAGGGCGCTGATCCAAACGGGACAGGAAACAATGCGACTGCGACTCTAAAAGAAGAACAGCGGTGTGAGTGACTAGAAAATGAGAACCAAGAAATGTATAACAATGAGAGGAATGGGCTTACTGAGTGGAGGGAGAGGCAAGTCAGGTTGATGCAGGGTGGAGATGGTTGCTGGAGGAGATGTTGGATCCAGGAAGGCAGGTGAGCAGTGGAGAGCGGGAGGCCAGAGGAGCTGAACGATGCTGGGATAAGGCACACCTCAGGCAGGTGGAGAAAATCCAGGGCTGGTACAGACAAGATAGCAGAGCAGGATTAGTACAGGTAAAACGTATTTCAGACCTACGGCACAGGTCAGGACATGGCTAAATGTACCCAACAGTAGAGTATCAACCAGCGATGAGGTGTTCTTCTTCTTCTGGTGTTTCATTGGCGGTTGGCAAACAACGAATGGTGCATTACCGCCACCAACTAGTGTGGAGTAGTGATGTTACCTGTGACACGCAGGATTCGAAGCTTGTATCACCAAAACGAACCACCGCAGAGCAAAGCACTGTGTCGGAGCTTGATTTGTTTACTGAAAGTCACGTGACCAATGAGCGACGAAGCTTCGATTCACCCTTCCACCCACGGGACTGCTTCACACGTCGTGTCAAACATTTAAAGCAACGCAAACCGAGAGGCGCAGGTGTGTATCACCTGAGATTGACGGTTCAGGATTCAGTATTCAGTGATTAAACACGGAGTCGCAAAAATAGATCCTGTAGCAAAAAGAGGGCGTTCTGAGATGTGGGAACATTTCAATTTAATCTCTCCAAATAAGGTTTGAAAATGTATTTGATCTAGTCTAGTAAATTACCTTTATAGTAGTAATACTTGGTGCATATTGTAGGGCTGTATCTTTTAGACCGTCTGTCATTTTCCTTTAATTAAATTAAAATCTAGTTTGGTATGATTTTTTCCTCTTTTATTGGTAATTAATATAATAGTTGATGAGCTTTTCAGTTTGGTTGTTCGTGTAATGGAATTTAGTATTTACCATCCTTATGTGAATTTTCTAATCTTCATTTTGTTACTCTATTTCTAAAAAAAAGATACATAAATTGAGCTAATTATTCCTGCCTAATAATCCAATAGAAATGTGAAAAGTAAAATATTTGAATATGTAGAGAATGTGAATATGTGTAAATTAGATATATTTCATCACGTATCCCATAAAAATGTATTCTTTCAATAATATTTGTTATGTGTTGCAGGTGCAGTGTGTTATTTGCAACCAACAACTGGCTTACAATAACAACACCTCATCAATGTTGAGGCACTTTCGTGCCAAGCATGACACTTCTGCTCGAGCTGCAGCCAGCAGTCAGGGTAAATGTCAGTATGTATGTGTTTTAATGTCACATTATCTGTTTAAATAACTTGTTTTGTTTTATTGTAGACAGCAGAAAGGACAACATTGATGAGGCCCTGGTCAATATGTTTGTTAAAGATTTGCAGCCTTTTAGCATTGTGGATGACGAAGGGTTCAGAGTCTTTGTAAGCCTTTTGGATCCCACATATGTCCTTCCATCACGGCAGGCACTGAAGAGCATGGTTGATGCCAGATATAAGAGGGAGAAAGAGAAGGCCAAGGAAATCATTCAGAAAGCCCCTGCAGTTAGTCTGACATCTGACATGTGGACATCTATTCACATGGATGCCTACCTTGCCATAACCTGCCATTTGATTAATGAAAGCGATGAGTTAACTTCTATGTTACTGACTGTTCGGAATTTTCCTGAGAAGCATACAGCAGCTAACATCGCTAAAGTTTTGGCTACTTTGATGGAGGAATGGAACATACAGTCCAAACTCATGTGCCTTGTGACTGATGGTGCCGCAAACATGCTGGCATGTGCAAATAATTTGGATGCAAGGCACAGTCACTGCATTGCACATGCCCTGAATCTGGTAGTAAGGAAGGCCCTTGATTTGACCCCTGGTCTTGAGGACATGAGGGGCAAGGCCAGAAAGGTTGCTGCCTACTTCAGGACCAGTACTTTGGCCAGAGAGAGGCTGCTTTTCCTACAGAGGCAGATGGAGGCAGTGGCCCCTGTCCATAAATTGATTCAGGAGGTGGACACAAGATGGAACAGCACTTTTGATATGTTGTCCAGGCTGTATGAGCAGCGTGAACCAGTAAGTGCAGCTCTGGCGTCCTTACATACTGATGTGGCTCCCCTGACCTCTGCAGAATATGACACCATCTCTGAATGCCTTGAGGTATTGTCACCCTTAAAAGAAGCAACTGTGGAGCTGTCGGCAGAGAAATCTGTGTCAGGGTCAAAAGTTATACCCTTAATTTGTATGCTGAGGCACAGCATCACCTCAAAACAGAGGCAGGTCAGGGGTGTTGTGGCCAGCAAACTGTGTAGTAACATTGTGCAGCTCATGAACGAAAAGCTAAGCCACTATGAGACAGCCAGTCAACATTCTCTCGCCACTCTCCTGGACCCCAGATTCAAGGTGATGGGGTTCTGTAATGCTACAAATTCAGAGACTGCGGTAAGAAGACTGACCGCCAAATGTGCCACTCTGCTGCGAAACAGTAGCACAACCCTTGACCCACCACAGCCTGCAGCTTCCTCATTGGCAGAATCCTCAGGTAACAGCTTAAAGTTCTCATGCATATGGTGCCCTTTTCTGACACTTTGTTTCTGATCATTTCAGTGGCTGGCCTGTGGGATTTGCTGGACAGCCAGGTCTCAGAGAAAAGGAAGGTGTCCAGTGCCACAGCAAATGCCACAGTCGAGGTTCAGCGATATCTTGTGGAACCAAACATTCCAAGAGGGGAGGACCCTCTTAAATATTGGGCAAAACAGAAACATGTGTACCCTAGTTTATATGTACTTGCCAAGGAGGTTTTGTGCATCCCAGCGTCCTCTGTTCCCTGTGAAAGGGTTTTTTCTAAAGCTGGGGAGGTTGTCAGCAAAAAAAGAAATAGACTCAGCCCTGGAACTGTTGAACAAATTCTGTTTTTGAATAAAAATGACATTTGATCCCCATATTGTCACCATGCACAACCACCTGTTCACAACCCCCCTCACCAAACTCACCTACACGAAGTCCTCAGGACTACAGATGGAAATCAGCCCTAGGCTACAATCGGGCCTGTTTACATTCATGTTGTCCCTACATGTATGTCCATTAACATGCACTGTCCCAAATAAACATCATTTCATTTCAACTATTCACACCAAGAAAAGCAATTTTATTATATTTAATGTAATGTTCAAATTCAAGATACTTTTATTATATGATCCCGAGGACGCTTTTTAATGCTTTATTTGTCCATAGAGTTCAATACACCATTCATTTTCAGTAGAATTGGCTGACAATACAATGAAATACAAACATTTACCAGCAGATGTCCTCATAGAGTTTTGAAGCATCGACCCTTGAACCTTTTTTCAATACAATTGGATTGTGAAGCTTTGTTGGTTCAAAAAGCTTCACATCACCATCACTAGTGTGGAGTGCGGTCTGGAACAGCGCTCATTAAACAAAATCAAACATGGGGAGAAAAAAAAAATAAAAATATAGAGGATTTAAGGAGCAGCGCTGCCACACCTCATCGCCGTGTGTGTGCGTGTGCGCGCGCGTGTATATATATATATATATATATATATATACACACATATAATATGTATGTATGTATGTATGTATGTATGTATGTATATATGTATCCGGAGATGAGGTGTGGCAGCGCCACTCCTTAAATTCTCTGGCCAGGCTGACGGTAATTAGCTGCTGTGGCTCCCCAACCAGCTCACCTGCAAACAATGAAAGAGAAGAGCAACAGCAACAGAGAGAAAGCATAACCATGACAACATCTGGTTTGGGAGAATGAGAGTCTGTGTCTCAGATTCCTCTTTATTTCCTTTACAGTCTGTCCTCCCACTTTGCCCTGAAAAAAGCCAGGGTTTAATTTCAAATCCTCCTGCCTTTAATATAAGTTTCACATTTGCTGTGATAACTTTAAGTTGTTCAAGGCTATTGTGCAGGGCTGTGCAGAGACCTTTGAAGGGGCGGGTGCTCAAATTTAAAAAGGGGTACACAGAATAATATTTTCAAACACCATGACATAACCACAGTATACCCGGCTGAATAACAAATCATATTTATTAGAAATTCAAAATGGAAGCAAATCATTATATACACCCTTACCACATAAGGACAATGTAAAGCAAAAATAACTTGTTTTGGTAAATGGTCTGTATTTGTATAATGCCTTCTTAGGGTTCTACAACCCCCCAAGGCACATTACAACACAATCAGTCATTCACACACACACACACATTAACACACTGATGGTGATGAGCTATGATGTAGCCATAGCTGCTCTGGAGCACACTGACAGAGGTGAAGCTGCTGAGCACAGGCGCCACCAGTCCCTCCGACCACCACCAGCAGGCAAAGCAGGTTAAGTGTCTTGCCCAAGGACACAACAGCATCAATGTCTGATTAAAGTCAGGATCAAACCTGCAACCTTCCGATTACTGGACAACCTGCTCCACTTCCTGATCTATTGCTGTCCTATTTTACCTGATGATGGGGTACAATGTACAGTGGGGCAAAAAAGTATTTAGTCAGCCACCAATCGTGCAAGTTCTCCCACTTAAAATGATGACAGAGGTCAGTAATTTACATCATAGGTACACTTCAACTGTGAGAGACAGAATGTGAAAAAAAAATCCATGAATTCACATGGCAGGATTTTTAAAGAATTTATTTGTAAATCAGGGTGGAAAATAAGTATTTGGTCAATAACAAAAATTCAACTCAATACTTTGTA